GGGACAGTATGGATGGACCTGGAGAATATTATGCTAAGTGAAATAAGCCAGGCAGAGAAAGACAAACCACATGATCTCGCTTATATGTTTAATCCACTCATCTACTGATGGGCACTAGGGTTGTTTCCAGATCTTAGCTATTGTAAATTGCACTGCTTTGAACACAGGGGTGCATATATTCTTTCTGATTGGTGTTTCAGGTTTCTTAAGATATATTCCTAGAAGTGGGATCACTGGGTCAGAAGGCAGCTCCATTTTTAATTTTTTGAGGAAGCTCCATACTGTTTTCCACAGTGGCTGCCCCAGTCTGCATTCCCACCAGCAGGGTACCAGGGCTCCCCTTTCTCCACACCCTCGCCAGCACAGTCAGTTTGTTGATTTGTTGATGGAGCCAGTCTGACAGGTGTGAAGCGATACATCATTGTGGTTGTAATTTGCATCTCTCTGATGATTAGCAACGTTGAGCATTTTCTCATATGTCTCTTGGCCATCTGTGTGTCCTCTTTGGAGAAGTGCCTATTCAGGTCCTTTGGCCACTTTTTAATTGGATTGTTTGTCTTCCTCTTGCTAAGTAGTATGAGTTCCTTGTACACTTTGGAAATTAGCCCCTTATCAGATACATCCTTGGCAAATATGTTTTCCTAGACCGTGGGGTTCCTTTGTATTTTGAGGCTGTTTTCTTTTGCTGTGCAGTAGCTCTTTAGATTCTCTGTGGTTCTTCATGTCCTCAGGAGATTCACCTACATCCCATTTGGCATGTACAGTTCAAAATATTGTGTTTTTAAGGCATTTGAAATAATGCGTGGTTTTTCTGCTATAAAGTTAGGTTAATTTATTCAATTTATTTTAATTTTTAGGAATATTTTTAATTTTATTTAATTCTGTGGGGTTTTTTTAATCCTCACCTGAGGGTATTTTATTTTCATTGCTTTTCAGAGAGTGGAAGGGAGAGAGAGAGACATTGATGTGAGAGACACACTGATTGGTTGCCTCCTGCACGCACCCCGAGCAGGGCCGGGGATCGAGCCTGCAACTGAGGTACGTGCCCTTGGTCGGAACTGAACCCAGGGCCCTTCAATCCGCAGATCGACGCTCTAACCACTGAGCAAAATTGGCTAGGGCTAATTCTGTTTTTAATTACATAAAATATTTACAGTATTCCTGTCCTAGTCAGCTTGGGCTGCTATGACAAAATATTATACACCGGGTAGCTTAAACAACAAGAATTTATTTTCTCACAGTTCTGGAAGTTGGGAAGTGCTGTATGATTTAGTTCCATGATGAGGGCCCTCCTCCTAGTTGGCAGCTGTGACCCCACATGGTGGAAAGAGAGCTCCTGTCTCTCCCTCTTCTTATAAGGACACTAATCCATCATGGGAGCTCTACCCTTATGACCTTATCTAGACCTAATTACCTCCCAAAGGTCATTATTTGAGATTAGGGCTCCAACATATGAATTTTGGGGAGACACAATCAGTCCAAGTAGTTCCAAAGTTAAGACTTAAAAACATTAGCTTCTGTCTCTGTCTCTGCTACCTTTTCCCCTCTGTCCCCTATAGGTGATTTTTTTTAGTGTTTAGTTTATTCATCCACTCTTTCTTTTTCTTCTTTTTTTAATATATATTTTTGATTTCAGAGAGAAGAAGAGAGAGAGAAAGAAACATCAATGATGAGAGTCATTGATCGGCTGCCTCCTGCACGCCCCCTGCAGGGGATCGAGCCTGCAACCCGGGCATGTGCCCTGACAGGGAATCGAACCATGATCTCCTGGATCCTAGGTCAATGCTCAACTGCTGAGCCATGCTGGCCAGGCATCCACTGTTTCTGTTTGAAGACATAAGTAAATATATACTCATAAATTTACTTATAACTATAGAAACCAAACCTATTTTGTTCCTTTCCTTCCTCATTTTCTTATGTAAAAAGTATACTACAACCTGCTGAATATACTGAAGACCACCAAATTGTGCACTTGAGAAGAGTGAATTTTATGAATGCAAATTATATTTCAGTTTTTTAAAAAGAAGCATACTATATAGATCAGTGATACACTTTGGTGTTTTTTTGTTTTGTTTTTTTCTACTTAACTTGGATATCACTTTATAAGTCTTTAAGAGGTCATACTCATTCCTGTTTACAGCTGTATTATACTCCACATTCCTAGTGTATCCAACCAATCCCCTACTGATGGACATTTGGGCTGCCTCCACTCTTCGCCACTGCAAACAGTGCTGTAATGAATGGTCGTGTGTGCATGCATCATATATGTTTTTGGAGGGAGTCCTTGGGATAGATTCCAAGAAATAGGATTGCTGAGTAATTGTGCATAGAGTTTTGCTTGATATTGCCAAATATCCCTCCTTAGGGGCAATAAATTGCAGTCAGTCCTTTTTAAGTCTGACCCCAGTCCCTGCTGCTACAGTGCCTGTTCGTCCTTGACTTCCCCTGGATCGGGGGGTCATGATCAATTCTGCTTCAGCTCTGCTGTACCTCAGGGGGCCTGGGCAGGCTGAGGACAGGGCAGGCTCAAATACCCACCCACTCATGTCCCCCACACCTTCTCTTTCCCCAGCTGGATCCTGTTTGATGAGAAGAACTTTGAGGGCGACCAGCACATTCTCTCTGAGGGCGAGTTCCCCACTCTCACGGCCATGGGCTGTCTGGCCTCTACAGTCCTGGGCTCCCTCCGGAAGGTACCCCTGGTGAGTGCCCATGTCCCGTTCCAGGCAATCCCTGAGGCAGGGGCTGCTGCTGGAGGTGTCCTGAGCTTCTTTTCATGCTGAGCAAACTGTTGGGGCTTGTATCCAGTCTTCCTCAGAGCCTCCTCAGGCACCCTGACCCCAGGGCTTCAAAGCCAGTTCAACTTACTAGAGATTTATCAAGCACCTACCAAGCTAGGTCCTGGGGACAATGGAATAAATCAGACAGAGCCCCGCTTTCAAGGATCCCAGGGTCACATTAACATAAAGATTACAATGCAGAGTGGTATGTCCAGGTACAGAAGTGGGACAGGGACAGGAGGCACTGGCACTTGAATGGTCTGTGGGGCAGGGGCCAGACTGCCGAGGCCGTGGTTCTGTGCAGGGAGGAGTGACACAGATGGCTCTGTGGAGAACGAGTGGGCCGGGTCAAGGCAGTGGGGTTGCTGCTACAGTAAACCAGAATAAATCATGATGTCCTGGACCAGGGACAAGATGGAGGGAAGTGACATGGGCACATTAAAGAGCTCAAGTCTATAGGACTTGGTGACCGGCACTGGGTGGACCAGCAGCGGCAGCACAAGCGGAACAGCTGACATTTACTGAGCACACACCCTGCTCCGGGCTTTTTACATTTTTAAAATTTATTTTTATTTTTTGTTAATTCTCACCCAAGGATATTTTTTCCATTGATTTTTTTAAAGAGTGGAAAGGAGGGAGGGGGAAAGAGGGAGAAAGTGAAACATCGATGTGAGAGAGACACATTAGGCCCCACACGAGCCCCAACCAAGCCTGGGGATCGAACCTGCAACCCAGGTTCGTGCCCTTGACCGGGAATCAAACCTGTGACCCTTTGGTGCGTGGGTTGATGCTCTCTAATCACTGAGCCAAATTGGCCAGGGCTTCCAGGCTTCTTTTTAAAAAAAAAAAAGAAAAAACTTTTATTGATTCAGAGAGAGGGAGAAAAAGAGAGAAATAACAATGATGATAGAAAGTCATTGATCTGCTGCCTCCTGCAGGACCCCGGGAATCGAACCTCGATCTCCTGCATCGTAGGTCGATGCTCAATCGCTGAGCCATGTGGACCGGGCCAGCTTTTTTTTAAAGGCTTTTTGTCTACTAAGGCGTTCAATCCTCACCACAACCCTATATGGTTTGTTATTATGCCCGTCTCCCTTTTCGGATGTGAAAACTGAGGCACAGAGAAGTCATGTGACTTGCTCCAGGTCACACAGCTGGTAACAGGCAGAGCCAGGTTCTCCCTAAGGCAGCCCAGCTCCTGAGTCCAAGCTCTTTACAACTATACTCTGGGCTCTGAAGGCAGATAGGCCTGGTTCTGAAGCCCAGCTTGAGGGGTTTAATCTTCTCCATCCTGTTTTCCCTCTGCTAAGCAGGGAAGTTATAATGAGATCAGGTAAAGGTCAGGTGGAGAAAGTTCTGTAGAAGCGGCAACTCTGTGAGGACGGCTGTAATGAACAGTGTTACTAGTATGCTGTTCTCAGAAGTGCCATTTACTGGGGAGCAGGGTTGAGGGCAATGCGAGGCCTATTCTGGCACATGCAGTATCTGAGACTCTGGGGGACACCCAGATGGCAGGTCCAGGAGTCAGGAGGGAAGAGGGCCTGAAATACCCATTTGGGCGTCGGGGGCTGAGTCTGGGGCCAGGGCTCTCGTGGTTTCAAGCCTTCTCCTGGACCCGCAGCACTTTTCGGAGCCCTCCATTTTCCTGTACGGCCTGGAGTGCTTCGAGGGGAAGGAGATTGAGCTCAATGGAGAGGTGCGGAGCCTGCAAGCCAAGGGCTTCAACAACCATGTGCTGTCCGTGCGGATCCAGGGGGGCACGTGAGTGGGTTGTGGGGGGCACAGGGGGTTGGGGGCTGCTAGTAAGTGAGGGCCGGGTGGGTCCCTGGTTTCTTCCCTTTACCACTTCTATTCCTCTCCCCTCCGAGCCAGGATGGAGGGAGAAGTGGGCCGAGGAGGGGCATTGATTCTCAGGGCCTGGACCCCAACCCAGGGAGGAAGGGGCTCTTCAGGACCCTCGCAAACCCCAAATCCACTTCCCAGCCTCTCTCTCCCCCCTGGGCCCCCTAACTCCAGGCAGAGGAGTCCCGGCAGGGGAGAGAAAGAGGGGGAGAAAGTTCTGACCTTCGCGTCTTCTCCCCCACCTGTCTGTCTGTCCCTGTCTGCCTGTCGGGCTGGCTTCCTCTCTGCCTCTGGCACTGGCTGGACCCAGCTGGGTGCTGTGTGAACACAGTGACTTCCGGGGCCGCCAGTGGCTGGTGGGCAGCTGCGAGATCACCAACTGGCTGACCTACAGTGGGACGCAGAGGGTGGGCTCCCTCTACCCCATCAAGCAGGTGGGTAGCTCGTCAGGTTGTGTGTCCACGGCGGCCTGTCTGGTGTGTGCCTATCTGTGTGTTTCCCACGCTTCCTAAGCTCAGCGTCTGTGTGCTTTTGTCACAATTTTTGCCACATTGTCATTCATACTTATTATTTTTAGTATTTTCCTCTAAATCAACTCACCATTTTTTCCTACTCTGTCCATATTCTAAGGAATAATATTCAGAAAATCATGAGATCGATGTGGATATATGATTTTTCCTTAATAGACAATATAATAATTGCCATTAAATTTTTAACAGTAAATTTATCCATGTAGGACAGAAAATCATCTCACATACTAGCCAGCAGTAGTGAGCACACCTCACTTTGGGCATCGCTCTGTCCACATGTCCGGCCATGTGTCTGTGCATTAATGTGGAGGCATGGCCCTGAGGTCTGTGCGGTGTGCAGGTGCCATCTGAGGGCATTTCTGTGTCTGTGAAGTCATTCATGTCCATGTGTCTGTGTCGGTGACCTGTGATGTGTGTGTGTACACGTCTGTGAGAGTGTGTTTATGACTACATGCGCCTGGGACGCTGTTGAGAGCGTGTGTGTCTTTGTGTGAGGATATCGTGTGGTCCCTGCATTCACAGACCCTTAGAACATCAGTGCTAGAAAAAATCTTGGAGATTATCTCCAACTCCCACATTTTACAGATGGGGAAAGAAAGGCCCAGAGAAGTGGACAAGGATTTGCTCTGCAACCTTGGGCAAGTACTGCACCTCCATGGACCTCAGCTTCCTCATCTTTAAAATGGGGGTAATACATATGATGGAGTTGGTTTGAGGACTGAAGATAAATAATGTATGTAAAGTCCTTAGAACAGTGCTTGAGTGGGGAAGCACTCAACGAACGTCAGCTGTGATTCTTGTTGTTACTGCCATGGCCAGCATCTGAGGATCTGATGTCTAACAGCGCAGGGTCTGCTCTGCCGTGGTCCCTCTTTAGCTGGGTGGGTGTGTGCGCATCTGTAGTCCTACCTGTATCCATCCTTCTAGCAAACATAAGTGCCTGGTGCAGAGCAGGCTGCGGGACGGGTGCATCAGTTAGGATGTGTGAGTTCGCATGGCTGTGAGCATCTGTGTGTTTGTGTCTGCTGCAAACTTCTGTGGAACCATGTGGACCTTGGGTGTATCTGCCAGCGTGTTCCTCTGCACATGTCTGTGGGTATCTATGGACATGGAACTGTATGGGTGTGGATGTGTGCTATGGACCTGCCTTTGGTATTTGTGCGGGAAATAAGGGGTGATTTAAAGGAGGGCCAAGGAAGGTTTAGGGGCAGGAAGGAGGGCTTGGGGGCTCGGGATACTGGAGGGTCCAGAGTTATGGGTGTTGGGGGCCCAGGTGGGAGCACCTCTGCCCTGGGAACCCTGACTCTCAGCTCCATCCAATCACCAGCGCCGGGCTTATTTCCGCCTCTGGAATGTGGCACTGAGGGGATTCCTGGCAGTGCCAGACCATGTGGAAGACATGAAGGCAGGCCGTGTGGTGGTCTCTGAACCTGGAGCTGGAGGTAGCTGCATCTGGTACTATGAAGATGGGCTGCTGAAGAACCAGGTACTGGTTTAGTGGCTGGGACAGGGACACCAGGGCCCCAGGCATACACAGACTCACCTTGGGGAGTCCCAGCCCAGTCAGTAATCCACCCTTGGGCCAGAGAGACACACACACAGACACCAAGACCCTGGGGAAGAGGTGAATGCAGGCTGTGTACCCCTGGGCAATTCAGGCTCTTCTCTGGGCCTCAGTCCCTCATCTGCAAAACAAGAGCATTGAACCAGATGCTTCTAAGGGGCTTCCCAGCTCTGATATCTTGTGACAGAACTTGGATCCTAATCATAATGATAGATCATTCCACAACACTTCCTGAGCACCTACTATGTGCCAGGTCCTGTTCTAGGTGCTGGCAATAAAGTAATGAGAAGACAGAAACAGCTCTTGCCCTCCTGAAGATTACATCCTAGTGGGGAGTGGCAGAAACGACTGAAATGAGTAAACTATCAGCATCTTAGATGATGGAAAGTGCAATAGAGCAGCGATTTTCAATCTTTTCCATCTCATGGCACACATAAACTACTAAAACTCTGCAGCACACCAAAAAATATACTTTTTGCTGATCTGATAGGTATAATTTTGATTGATTTACACAAAAAAATAATAGTAATTACCTACCCTTTTTGCTCCAAAGTGACCTTTTAAAAAATTGATTTCAGAGAGAGGAAGGGAGAGAAAGAAACATCAAGGATGAGAATCATCAGTTGGCTGCCTCCTGCACGCCCCCTACTGGGGATCGAGCCTGCAACCCAGGCATGTGCCCTGACCGGGAATTGAACTGTGATCTCCTGGTTCATGGGTTGATGCTCAACCACTGAGCCACACCAGCTGGGCCAAAGTGACTTTTTAAAAAATTGGGTGCCTATATTCATATATAAGTGTTTCTGGTACCAAAAATTAACCAATCAGACACAACCTCATTATGCGACATGACCAATAAGATGCAACTCTATTATATGACCTATATAATTATGGTTCAAGACAGGGCATTCACACCAGACAGCTATTGTGTTGGCTGTTGTCACTTTTAATTTGACAATCTAAGGGAAAAGAGGTCGGTGCCCCTGACTAAATAGTCAGGTAGTGCATGTTTTAAAAATTCTTGGGCACTCTGGTTGAAAATCGCTGCAATAAAGAAAAAAGTAAATGAATAAAAGGAATAGGAAGTCTCAGTAGCTCTGACAAGGGAGCCCTTTCTGAGAATGTGACGTTTGAAGGAGGCAGCCATGCAGGTACCTGAGGGAAGAGTGTTCCAGGTAGAGGGAACTGCAAGTGCAAAGGCCCTGAGGTCGGAACATGCCTGGCATTTTCCAGGACTAGCAAATCCACCTGAATGGCTGGTGTGAAGTGAGTGAAGAACTAAGTAACAGGAGATTATATCAGAAAGGTTATGGGAGTGTAGGTCTTTGTAGGCTATTAAAGGGGGTTTGTCTTTTAATTAGAATGAAAGGGAAAACTGGCTATGTACCAGGTGCCATGTTAAGCCCTTCACATGCATACCTCATATAATCCTTAGATGGCACTATGGGCAGATTGTATTTTACTATCCATGTTACAGGTTAGGAAAGCAGAGCACAGGTAAGTAAGTGGCTGAAAGTCACACAGCCAGTAGGTGTGCTAGGCTTGTCTGATGCTGAAGCCTGTGTTTTGGGAGTCAGTCATGGAAGGTTTCCTGGAGGAACTAATATTTTCCCAGCCCTTTTATGATTTCTCACATTGAGCCCTCGTAACAACCAGCACTCGGGGATTTCCATCCCTAAGGACACCAAAGCCCAAGAGGATTAAGAGATTTGCCCACGGTCACAGTCCATCAGGATTAAAGCTGGGTGTGTCAAGGGTGTCTTCCTTTGGTGGGGTCCCTGTGGAGAGGAACGGTGCCTGAAAACCTCCTGGGGCCTCAGGTGGCCCCCACCATGAGCCTGCAGGTGATTGGCCCCCCCAGCACAGGCTCCAAGGTGGTGCTGTGGGCTGAGAGCCGCCTGCCCCGTCAGACATGGAGCATCGACAACTCGGGCCACATCTGCAGCCAGATGTTTGAAGGCCGGATCCTAGATGTGAAGGGTAAGGTGGGGATGTGTGTGGGAGAAAGCACCGGGGGGGGGGCTGAGGGTAGTGGAGTCCCCAGCTTGCTCTGACCATCTGTCTTCCCATCTCTTTCTCCTTCCCCAGGTGGCCGGGGATACGACCGGGACCATGCAGTGCTGTGGGAGCTGGCCGAGGACAGGGCTTCCCAGACCTGGACTGTTCATGTGCTTTGACACCCCACCCTCCTAGCCCTGGAGGCTTTCTCTGGGATGAAACGTTTTTATAGGTGTTTCGCTGTTGTTGTTGTAATATAAGCTGTTTTCTAATATCCCCCCTGGTGTCCTCCCCTCTGTGCGCTTGGTATTTGGGAGTGGGTTCATTCACCTGCCTTCTCTCCTAGCTCCTGTTTTGGGGCTCAAGTGTAAGGCCTCCCTCTGCCACCAGAGGGAGCCCTGAGACCAGATTAACTGGTGAGGGTGGTCTTTTATGCAGTCACCCCAATGATGTGCCTGAGAGCCTGCTCTGAGCCAGGTCTGGCACTGGGCTGGGGGGCACACACAGGAACCAAGCCCCTTGGCCCCACCCTCAGGGACCTCACAGGCCCAGTGCAGGATTCTGATGGCGAAATGGCAGGTCCCTGCTAGGTGATCCTAAGGGGAGGAGCCTCAGCATTTGGACTTTGGACCAGGGAAGCTGGAGTGGGAGCTCCCTGGCACCACCTCCTGCTGATGGGGCATGGGAGGCTCCTTGGTGCTGTTGCAAACCTGGCGTTTGGGGCTCTGCGATGTCCAGTGACCACACATAGGACCCTGCTCCAAGTACAGGACAACTTTATTGACCCCCAGCTGGGTGATGCTAACAGCTCCTTATCAGTACCTCCCTGTGTTGGCCATGGCTCCCAAGGCACTTCCGATCAATTCCCACAACTGGTGATCTCCGGTGTCAACCCCTCCCAAGGATTGGGGATGGGGAGCTTCTCTTGTTAGTGATGGTGGCAGTTATCTCAGAGGACACAGGGCTAGGGCTGAGGCATGTCACCTCAGCTGAGGTGGAAGAGCTGGATAAGGGAGGTGGTCAAGAAAATAAGGACACTGCCACTGCCCAGGCTGCTGAGTGCTGGGGCTGTGCCCTTGGCTTTCTTAGTGAAGATGGCGACGACGGCGCGGGAGGTGGTGGTTCCGGTGGTCTTGGCAGTGTTGGAGGTTTGGGCAGTTTTGGTGGTTTTGGCGGTTTGCATGGTTTTGGCGGTTTGCATGGTTTTGATGGTTTGCATGGTTTTGGTGCTTAGGGCAGTTTCGGCGGTTTGGGCGTTTTTGGTGGTTTTGGTGGTTTTCGCCACTTGGGGGGTTTGAATGGTTTTCTCGGTGGGGTAGGGGGCCGCGGCAGATGTGGTAACGTTTTCCAAGATGCCACTTTGTATCTGCAAGAGAAGTGGGGCAAGCTCAGGAGGCTTTTGAATCTCATGTTTGTTTAGAGACACAGATCCCCTACCCGGTACAATAGTCCCCGCTTCTCTATGCCATGATCATGACTTCTGCCACCAGTGCCCATGGAGATGACTGGCTGCTTCCTGCCTTGACCCAGGCAGGGTCAAAGGCGGTCCCTAGCCCACCTCCTATTGAACCTTCCTGTCACCGCCAGGCCACCAGCTCCTCCAGGGTGTGGAAGATAGGGGAGCCTGCGGCCCCAGTCCGTGACCTTACCAGTTGGACCAGGGACTTAGCCTATCTGAGCCTCAGTTTCCTCATATTCTGAATGGGAAGAAGAGCAATGACAGTGGGGGGGGGGGTCACAGGAGACAAGGCTGGTGAGAAGGCAGCTGGCAAAGTGTGAGTGGGTGGATGGATAGGTGGGGAGGGTACAATTTCCTTCCTGAGGACATGCCAGATGGTGATCAAACTGTTCTCAATGCTTGGTCAAGCTGCAACTAAAGCTGCTCTTGATGGAGATTAAGCTGTTTTTGATGGTGCTCAAGCTGTTCTTGATGCTTGATCAAGCTGCTCTTTATCAAGAACTTGATGGCTCCTGTCCTTATGCTGACTGTAGCCCTCTGGGCATGGGGTGCTGCTGAAGCTGGCCCCTGGAATAGCAGTTGGTTTTGAGACTTCACCTATTTCTGGAGTGGGCAATTTCTACCTTCTCTACATTCTCTCCCTGGGTAGAATCCTCCAGAACAGGATCAGATTCCACCTGAACACTTCCTGGCCCCCTCTTAATAAGACCATTTCCCTGGGTTCCTTGTGGGTTGATGCCATCCTCGCTCAGGGCTGTCTTCCCAGGCCTCTAAATTCACTATTATTCCGCAGCACCCCTTGGGTGCCTCAGTGTTCCCAGCACCCTGAAAGTGCTCCCCAGTCTGGAGTATAGGCTTTTGTTCAGGGGCAGCCCTCAAGCTGTCTGAACCCAGCCAGAAGGGCTGGAAGGCTGGGAGCCAGATCCCCCCTCAGGCTCTGGTCCACCTGCTGGAGCCTTTCTGCCTTTGTCCCCATGGGAGAAGACTGGGTTTCTAGGAGTCTGCATTCCCTTCCTCCCATGCAGGCAGGTCTGGGGACTCCTGGGCGATGGTGCCAGGGCCTCTGAGGGGCTGTTCTTACCTGAATCATAACCAGGAGGCTGATGGTGAATAGGAGGAAGAAGAAGCCCTTCATCTTGGGAGGATCTGGGTAGCAGCTTTTGGAGATGAGCACAGAGCTGTCTGCGGGCTCCTTTTGGCTTGGTTGCTTTTGAACCAGGGAGGCGGGAGAAAGGGAAAGGAAGGAGGACCTATGGGGGAGGGCCTATGGGGTGGGGTGTTGCTTCCTTTTGACAGATTTCAGGTCCTTGGTTCTAGGGCCCTGGCTGATGATGCATTCTGGGTTGGGACCCAGCCAAATCCCAAGGGATAGGAGGTGGGCAAACCCAGGGGCAGCTGTGGGGCAGTAAGTAGGGCCCTGGGCTTATAGTCATGCCTGCTGGGGATTGAATCTTGGTTTAATCACCTATCAACTCTACAACCCTGGGCCAGAAACTGTTTCTCTGAGCCTTTAACAAAAGAGCAGCCGGAGGATTAAGTGCAATATAACCCATTTAAGTGTGTGAACACATAGTAAATAGTATATGATTTTTAAAAATTTTTTTTAAAAGAAGATAGGGGCAGGGTACAGGAGCTGAAAGAGAAAAGGTTGGGATAGATTTAGATTTCAAGGTAAGGTTGTATATGGCTCCACAGGTTCAGAACATTAATATTTGGGGTTGGGGGTGAAATAGTAGATTTCTGTGAAAACAAAGGAGCACTGCATTAGCAATCTGGGAACCTAGTTTCTAGGTAGACCCATTGACTTTGGGCCTTGTATTTCTCATTTCAACTAGGAAGACTACAGTGAATTATTTCTGAAGTTTTTTAAGACCTAGCATTTTGTGATCTGGGTAAAGAAAATAGCAGAAGGATTGTTTGTGTTGATCTAGAATGGATGGAAGGGAGGCTAATGGAGGGACAAGTGGGGGACTAAACTGCAGTGGAGGAGGTTTGGGGTAGGGAATGTAAGTCCCAGCGAGGGGTGGGTAATAAGATGAATCACAAAGCTGCTTGGACTGTGCTCCATTCTCCACTTTAAGAAATACATATATATTTTTTATTGATTTTTCTTTTTTTTAGAGAGATAGGTAGAGAGAGGGGGAGAGAGAGAGAAAAACATCAATTGGCTGCCTCCTGCATGCCCCCCACCTGGGATAGAACTTGAAACCCGGGCATGTACGATCACCAGGAATTGAACCAGTAACCTTTGTTGCAAAGGACGAGGCCCAACCAACTGAGCCAGATCGGCCAGGACCCATTCTCTTTTGTTTGTATATTCTCTCACTTTATTGTCCCAGTGGGGCTCTGTAGTAGATTTTATAACTACCCCCATTTTCCTGATGAAGAAACTGAGGCTTAGATATTAATTGACTTATCCAGGGTAATAAATGGTGGAGCTAGTCTCATTTGAACTTGAATCCAGGTCTGTCTGAAGCCACAGTCATGTATGTAACCTCTGGGGCTGCCCCAGGAGACTTGGTTCCCTTCCCTTCTTCCTCCTGGAGGACCCAGTGTTGGCTCTGTAGCCCAGCTCCAGCCTCACCTGCTCTCCATTTCTTAGTCTGTTTTATGTCTCATTTGCATACTGGATAGTAAAAGAAAACCCCCTCTCACTTCCCTTCTATAGTTTTGGGCCTCCTGTTGCAAGCCTCGGAAAAGCCTGAGTAGGACCTTAGGGGTCTCCAGCCCTGGCTAAAAAGAACTGAGAGTACACTGGTGAGACGAAGTCAAGAAGTGCAGAGGGAGGGGGCAGGGGTCTTGAGGGTCCTCAGGGTTGTGGGGAGGGAAATGGGAGGGGCTCTCAACTACTGACCACTGCCCACCCCCATCAGCTCCTTACCCAGAAGTCTCTCCTAACCCTGACTCAAGCGTTAGCTGCCTTTGGTACACCTGTGGGTGATTCTGGGGGTTCGTGAGAGTTGGGGAGGCAGCATGTGCTGGAAGGGCACTGGCCCAGGAGCTAGGAGGCCCATGTTGAAGTTCAAGGTTCCCCTGCTGAAAATTGGCTCCGTCACACCGGGCAATCTCCTTTCCTCTTATGAAGAGGCAGCTGGACAGGCTAAGCCCTGGGGCCAGCCCTGTTGTACTTTGTTCCATGCTGGGAATGCATGTGAAGATACCTAAATGCCAGGCTCATACTTGTAAAACGTTCCTTACCCTAGAAATTTCATTTTCACATCCTGAGCCTCTGCTACGGTGTGAGCCTGAGCTGCTAGTGGTGGTGGAGCCTCATAGGTGCTGGAAGGGTTTTTAAGGGTCATCAGAATTTGGGGCATGGATGTCTAGAGTCTCTCAGTACTTAAGAGAAGTGGGGCTTCACACCATTACCTCTCCTGCCCTCTGAGCAGTTTTATTCTGTCTTGACAACATCTGGATAGACAGAACCCTCGTCATAAAGCTTAAAGAGCCCAGAAAAACCCTCATTTTACAGATTGGAAAACTGAGGGCCCAAGAAGGGCAGATTAATGGCAGAGCTGGAGATAGAACCTAGTGTATCTCTCAACTTGTGTCCTACTGTACACCTTCTCCAAACTTGACTTCCAAACCTTAACTAGCAAAATGGGAAATCTTGGACCACAGCCCTTACAACTGTCCCCAGGGATCAAGGCCAACCTCTTTAGTGTGACATTCAAGGCTCCTGCCTTCCTCCTAGTCTGGTGTTTTGGGTTATATAACATCCCTCCCCCACACTTAGCCTTCAGCTACACCCAACTTACATCACCTCACTGCTCCAGGCTCTTTTTTTTTTTTTTTAAGTTTAATCGTCACCCAAGGAT